CAGGAGATGCAGCAGGCCTACGTCTCCTTGGCTCGCCATCTTTCCCAGTGAAATAATGACAAGCTGTCATTCTGCTGAAATTATAAATCCCATGTCCTGTTTTTGCTTCCGAGTGTTCAAATTAGCAAATGCAGCTGTAAGCAGGTCCTTCATCCTTTACCCCCTGGCAAGGCAGGCTCTCCTTTGTTGATGCCAAGGTGGCCGCCCCAAATGGGTGGCAGATCTAGGGGCCTCCTTAAAGCGGATGGCGAGAGATGGAAAGCAGCAAGTGGGGGGGGGAAACAGCCCCATTGTGGGATTTGTGCCTTGCAGAAGCTGTAGGGTCTTGAAATTTCCTTTTGATTACAAGGAGCAGCAGCCGGTTCTCCCCATATCGCCCTCTCTCACGGCAGCTGAGTTTTTAATGCCATTGCCTTGACCGTCCTGGCAAAATAAAAAAATGGAGGAGAGATTTCGGCTGGCCCAGCCAGGCACAGATTCCTGTGTAAACTGTGGGGCGCGTTGCGTGCAACGAACTGGCCAGCACAGATGGCGAATGCCTGGTGCCAGAGAGGTAGATGATGATTAAGTCCCAGCTCCGGGCAAGCTGGGGGGCTCTTCCTTCACCTCGTTCACTGCCCAAGCCCCAGACAGATATTGTGATTTTCCTCCTTTCCAGCCTTTCAACAGCCTGACGGGAAGAGGTGAGAAACCGGCGTCCCCTTAAATGGGTTCACAGGAAGGTCCTCATAGTCTGCCTGTTCTCCCCCCAACTCCAGTGCTTGGAGAAGTTCCTTTTTTTTCCTTTTCTTTTTGGACTACAGGACGCAGGGCCGGATGTGTCTGTCGGCTGTAATCCAGTCTGCCAATTTGTCCTGCGATAATAGCTTTGGCTGGCCAGATTCTCTTCTCTGCAGGACATCTGAGGACGTGGACTCACCCGCAAAAGCTCACATTTTTGTGCCTTCTTTATTTTTTTTTATTTTTTTGACTTTACCTGATACGCTAGCACAGCTGTCTCTTCTCAAACTAGAAATAACCAATTCACCTTTAAGAAACAGAGAAAGTAGAGTTCCTTCTTTTTGTAACTGTAACAATAACAGTTATTGTAACTGTAAAAATAACATTTATTGTAACTGTAACAATAACATTTATTGTAACTGTAACAATAACAAACTTATTTAGGGGTGATTTGGAAATGAAACAATTACTATTAATTGTAACTTCCCATGTTTTGAAAGGGACGGTTTTGTGTTCTTAGTGGGTCTTTTTTTCTTCTTTGCTTAAATCTGGTATGCTGGAATGCTCAGCGATTTAGGTCTCTGGCCAGGGAGCCAGAGGTTGGGAGTTTGAATCCCGCACGGTGCCTCCGTGACAAGGGCCGGACTCAATAATCCAGAAGGCCCCTTCCAGCCCTGCAGTTCTAAAGGGAACAGAACAGTATGTTGTAAAACCTGTGGGTGCATTTCAGGGTGTGCACACATAAAGGGGGCTCAGGTTTAGCTGATACTACGTCAGCTTAGCCTGCAGCAGAGTGTGTTATGTGTGGGCTCCTAAAAGCCATTTTTCTCTCTCTCCCTCTCTGTTTCTCCCTCTCATAAACCAACCGTGAAATAGAGCCTGCGTAGTAATTTTCCTATTGATTCTGCTGCAATTAAATTACCTTCTTAGGAAGCTCTTAAGGGCTTTTCTGAAACAGGCACACAAAGAGGTGAGGGGCTGGGGGGGGAGTGGAAGAGGAGGGAGTCCAGGAAGCGATTAGGGGGCCCTCAATGCCATTTCTGGATAGCTGACAGAGTGACCGAGAGGCACCTGCTTAATAGCTATGGCCAGAGATGGGTGGAAGAGAGAAGATACTTCCAGACGGGCCCGGATGGTGGTTAAACTCAGAATTGATGGTTGAGCAGCAGCATAACAAGAGGGACTCAGTACGTCGCAGTGAGAGATTAAAATAAGGGCATTTTTCCTTTCAGTAAAAACCAGCATGGCTTAGATTTTCAACATGGTGGCAGCAGCTAGAGGACATCCAGTTTTGTCAGAGGCTTATAATGGGCAGCTCACCCAGCATCATTTGTGATAAATGATGACTTATCTGTGTCTCTCCTAATGGATTGAGGCCTGCCCGGGGCTGAATTAAGGCACAGTGAGACCCTCAACAGTGTCAGGTATCAGAAGCCCCATAGCATTGCCAGTTGGTGGGGGTCAGAAGAGGAACTATATTTTTATATAGAGAAGCCTGCCATAATTTGAGGCCTGACACTGTATATTTGCTTTTTTTTATGTGTGAAGCGGTTCCCACTTTCACTGCTTTTAGGAAGGATATGAAGATGCGTCTTCCCAATCTCGCCTTTTAACGTGTTTTGAGATTTGTGGTGTTTTTAATGGTTTTTAGGAATCGTTTTTAGTTGTGTCTGCTAGCCATTAAAGTCACTATTTTTTTTTAAGTGGAAAGGCAGGATTGAAATGCGGTAATAAATAAGTAATTTTATTGTGTTGTGTCTTTACTCCTGAGTTGTCGGCAGTCTGTGTAGTTTCTCACCGTTTTACCCTCATGACTAGAGTTGTGTATGTTCACCTGCGATCCATCTATTTATCCACACCCTTCCCCTCTCCAGATGTGTGCGTGTTTCTACACATCTGGTCAGTCGTATGCATTGGATATTTGGTTTGAACACCGTCTCCATATGGATGAAAGTTAATTTAAGTAGCACTTTGTGTGAATTTCAAATAGTGCATTTTCAAAGCATCCTTTTCGAAAAGCACGACTGCGGAAGGGCATGGGATGAACCTGTGGCACTCTTGTGTTGTTTTGCACGATAAGTCCCAGAATCCCCAGATGGTGTTGCCAGTGAGAAAGGATAGTGTAAGTTATAGTTTTAGAACATCTGGGGTGTGCAAGGTTTGCCACCCCCGGGGGCTGGGGAGATGCCGGTAGTTGTCACACACACACCTCCGCCACAACCAGGTGAGGATTCTGGAGCCAAAGGGCTGCCCCCCCCGTCAAAGGCAGGTGAGGACTGCAAACCTGTTGAATATCAGACCGACATCAGATTCCTCTAGAGCAGCAAACCGCACTGCGGGGGAGGGGGAGCTGAAATCTCAGCTCACGAACTGAGTGGAAACGTGAACTTGGAACGGAGCTTTCCATTCGTAAATTCAGAGCCTCCAAGCCTCAGGATGTTACAAAGTTTACGGAAATTACCTTTTTTGGCCTACAAATCCCATTAGCCCCTGGGAGTGTGATTTTGTGAAGTCCAGAGGCGTCCATTTCCCAAGCACTGGGACTTAAACGTCTTGCTAACAACCCATCTCCATCAGCCGCTCTGGAATGAATTCTCTAGGCGGTGGTGGGAGTTGGGTTCTCCTCGTCCGGTACGGCCGCCTAGGCAGCGAGCAAGGCATCTTGTTTGCAGGGACGAAATTATTAGCTCTGCAGTTTGGTACCTTGTGCAATCTCTCCGTTACTTAAGCCTAGAATTAATTGTGGGCTGGAACCAGCCTGGAATGAGCTGCCAGAACAACAGGGAGGGTGTCATTAATTATCTAGGCAGCCGTGGAAGTTGTCTTCTCCTAATCCAGTGCCGCAGCATTACAGAACAACAGCGCGTCTCGGCTCTCTGTCTACGGTTGTGATGGAGACCCAATGGGCACGGGGGTCTCCCCTTTGTCTATCCTTTCCCAGCTGTATCGAAACAACCACGGGCCACGTCCGCCTCGGTCAGCGCTTGGCGCGCATGGAATTCCGGGTTTATTTATTTGTTTCTTCAAAATATTTTTATCCTGCTTTTTTCCTTAAAAACAACCCACAGCCTCTTCTTCTTCACACCCCACTGGATGGGCCTTGAGGGTGGACTTGGAAAAGGGTTCTCCATGAGGATCTCGGATCCTGGGTGGGTCTATGTGGGGGGAAAATGGGCCTGTTCAGGTTGCTTGGGCCAAACTCTATGGGGCTCGAAAAGTCATAACCAGCCATTTGCCCAGAAACAGCCGGTGGGGCTCTTGTCAGCAGGGAGCAATCTGCACCTTGTAACTGGCCCCAGTTGACAATCTGCACCCAGTTTTTTGGACCAGCGCTAGTTTTTGAAACGAGGCGGAAGACCTGTTTCAAGATGGACTAATGCAAACTTAACGAAATGTCATACTTTTGGACCAGTTGCCAGCATGCTAGAACCTCATGTCTTGGACTGTAAAAAATGTAGTTCTATTGTTTAATTCCCTAGAACCTCAACGTTCCTGAAAAATTCAAGCCTTATTTTCTGTAACTAGAAAATCCCTGCGTCTGTCCCGTGGCTTTCCTGACTCGTGTGCAATCCCGCTCGCTGGACTGTAGTGCAATACCCTCCCTTGGGCTTCAGGGACACAACAACGTTCCAGCCAGCAGATGCTGAGAATCTGAGAATATCAGGGGACGTGGCATGCCCCAGGAGAAATGCACACAGAAGCAGATAAGATTTTCCTGTGGACGAAGGATGCACTGAGCATCATAGCAGGAAAAGCCCGACAGATCCCAAGAGAAACCAGAAATAGCAGATGTGTCCCTTGTTGAACAGACCTTAGCCCCCCCCCTTCCCAGTCTTGACTCATAAAAGAGTGACATTGTGGGTATAAAACCAGGAGACCCTTGTTCATCCCCTCTAATTTCTAAAATTTGCAATTGTTCCCATATGCTTTTCTAACAGCTTTCCTGTTTTTTCTCTTCCATGTGAGGGATTCATGTGTCTTTCCTACATTTTCTGCAACCCCCTCACATAGACTTTCTGCAACATCCATACCTTCCATTGATTCCCCTTGGTACAATGACAGGCAGTTCTCATGGGAAAGTGGCATAGTTATTAGACAGACACGGGCGCTCGCTGTGTAAACAGGAGCAAATAAATTGGTTTCGCTGAGAATAAATCAGCCGGAGATGCCACCAGCTTGGAATAATAAAAAGGCTGGGCTTTTTTGAGGCCTGATAATGGCTGGAATTTCCCCTGCATAATTTGATATATTTCTCTCTTCCCTCCCCTCCCTCCCTTTAGGGCCTGAAGCCTATGGATCATAATGGACTTTCGGACCCATATGTGAAACTACATTTACTGCCAGGTGCCAGCAAGGTGAGTCAACCTTTCCTCCCTGCCCCCTTTCATTTATTAGGTAGGAAATCACAAAATTCGTACATGGGTTTTTAAGAAGCCTGACTCTGCTACAGGTCTCAGGTTGGAGAAGCCTGGCTCTGAGTGGTCCTGGCGGAAGGTCTTTGGGGCCTTTGACTGGTGACAAAGATGGTGGTCCAGCTGGGTCATGCGTTCATCCAGATTTCATCCTAGGTGGCTCTCAATTGAAGTGATTTATTTATTTAGCTTCTACCCCTGCCCATCTAGTGGGAAGCTACCACTCTGGGTGGGTTACAGCAAAGTATAAACGTAAAATGAAAATTTTAAATGAAAATAAAACACACACTCACACACACCTGAAAACCCACCCATCTAAACAGAGCAACCTATGCCGGCTGCTCAAGATGGCCACGACAGCAACCAAGATCCACCTATGGAATAGAGGATTGTCAAAAGCTTACCTGAAGTTTTAATTTGCCTTCTAAATAGTTAGAGGGTGTGAAGGGGGGGACGCCTGACACCCCTCCACTGGGGATATGTTCCAAAGAGGTTGAGCAGGAGATGCTGGCCTGGATCCAGGGATTAGTCTCCACAAGAGCAGACCTATTCAATCGGTTGGATTGATGTGTTGACTTGAGTTCGTTTGGCGGGGCTGCACTGGCTGAAGCCGGCCCTTGGATTTAGGCAGCTGTTTCCCTCCCCCCAAGCTTGAGGTGTTGATCTGGATGACGGGGGGGTCTCTGCTGTCGCCCTATGGCACCATAAGATACGTCAATCTCTCATATGTCATGTCTTTTAATAATATTGTAGGACACTGTTGACTTAAAAAGATGGGTGGCTTGAACTCATCATGGCACGAACAAGAGTTCAAATCCTCACAAGCCTCCTTGCAGAACCTTAAGGTGCCACAATGTTGTTGTTGTTTTTTGCTTTTTTTCCTGTTTCTTGTCGATATCCTTGCACAAACACAGATACAACTTTGAAAACATCTCAGCGACACCACCACCCCTTGCTTATTTAAGCAGGAAAGCCGTGGGGCTCAGTGTTTGCGGGGGGGTGGGGTTCTTCCAAGAGGTTTAGCTCCTGGAAGGCCTTCTTCTAAATTCGGAATAAAACCCAGCGTGGATTCACTACCTCTGTGGGAAGGGCCTGGGTGTGCCTGGGACAGAGGCCGGGAGGCTCTTAAGCTCATTCCTGCTGGTCTCGATACTTGGGAGATGTGGCCTGTTTTTCAGGTCACAGAGCAAAGCTGGTTGGCCCCAGTGCCTGGCCTGTTAATTGATCAATGATTGTGTGTGGAATAACTTTCTGGAAGTCAAGGTCAAAGCGGGGGGAGGATGATGCCCTGGGAGAAATGGAAAGGCTATAAATAACAGACCCGGGCAAAGGGAAAGGGAGAGAAAAGAGCCAGACTGTTCTATCCATAAAGAAAGAGGGATTAAATTTTGACCCACTCACCTTCCAACTCTGGAACCACCCTGCCTTTTAAAGTTCACACAGATACAGCGGCCAATAGGTGCCCGTTTGCTTTCCTTCTGCAACGAGGCACCACCAAAAAGCCAAGCCATGACTGCCTGCGGTTCTTTTGCCTGGAGGTGGTGCAGATTAAAATGTCACTCCCAGACCCACCCGCCTGAAGAGTGCGCGTTCAACCATGAAAGTGTCATTCCTCTTTTCCGTGATCCTGGTCGACGGAAGAGCAGATTACATCTATTGTAAATATATTATATCGGAACAGCTGCTGTCAGGGATGTCACTTCTGATCTTCGTGACTCCACCAGTCAAGAGGAGCTTCTCCCTGTTTCCGTAGGTCCCCCCCCTTCTGCCTTTGCCTCGTTTCCTGCGAGACTAGATTTCTAAACCATTTCTAGATCTCAGGTTCAACGCTTGCAGGGGGCAGACCTTTCAGGAGTCCCTGTGTGTAAAGACAGAGAGGAATCAAGGCCAGGTATGCTTGCATGGACATTTTGCTGAGGAGTTTTGTTTTGTTTTTTGGGCTGGGAGTTCTCTTGGTCTCACCCGCCACATGGCCTGGGGCTGGAGCCTTAGGGGGGGCGGGGCTTTCTACTTTAAATGAAGGTGTCCCAGGACCCCTCGCTGTTGAAAGCCAATTAGATCTGCATACACCTGGGAGGCAGGAAAGTTTTAAGGGTCGGACCATACTTCTGCACTATTAGAGAGCAGGCCGGGTAGGTGGGGCTCGTCAGCCATTGGGCTGGGCTTTCTCTTGGTCTCACCCGCCGCATGGCCTGGGGCTGGAGCCTTAGGGGGCGGGGCTTTCTACTTTAAATGAAGGTGTCCCAGGACCCCTCGCTGTTGAAAGCCAATTAGATTTGCATACACCTGGGAGGCAGGAAAGTTTTAAGGGTCGGATCATACTTCTGCACTATTAGAGAGCAGGCCGGGTAGGTGGGGCTCGTCAGCTATGGCTTTCTATTGGACCATTTCAGTGACATGGAGAGGGGTTATCTGTTGCTTGGGTAACAACCTATCCTCCATATTACTTTACCCCGGCTTCATGCTCTGGAGAGGACACTCCTCCATTCAGAGCACGTTACCATGGTCTCTCGAGACTGAAGGATGCCTATGATGATGATCCAAGCACCTCTCCTGGTTTGTTTGTTTATCTGTAGCGCTCATCACCTGACTGGCAAAAAGTTTGTGGGTTCCCCCCCAAAAAAACCGATGTATCAGTGCTTTTAAAAAAAGTTTGTGTCCTCAGACTTTAGATCTTAAAGTCTCCAGAAACAAAGCATAAAAGGGAGAGGAGGGGAGAGGAAAGAGGAAAACGAGGCTTTTAAAACTTCTGGGGCAGGCTTCTCCAAAGGGCGAGTAGTGGCCGACCTTTCCTTTAGTTTACCCCCCATCTCCCCATCCAGGCTTTGTTGCAGAGAACTTGGCCCAGTCAGAGGGTCTTCCATCATCTCAGGATAACGTGGCCTCGAGTCTTTTGTTTGAAATTGGCCAAAAAAAGAGAAAAGAAAAGAAAAAGTCTATATTAAAGTATTTATAACTTGGGGCTAGTTGATGTTTCAAACCCTAGCTTTCTACAACAGACCTCAGGGATACATATACCCGTTTAAAAACAGATCAATAAGCCAAGTATGAAAGCAATATAGAATCTCACATTATTTTTCTGAGATAGATGACAAATTTACTCTCTTCCTCGTCCTTCTTCCTAGCCAAACTTCTTATTGAGATCTCAGAGCAAAATTCATGATTCTATGCACCCCAACTTTATCCTCACAAGAAGACTTGGTTATTAGCTTCAAGTTAAATGCCAGGTTTTCTGGCTGGTTGGAGATTAAATGTGGATTTTCCCACTTGTTGTCCCCTGATTATTTAAACTTCATCCAACACCGCCACCCATACCATCTTTGAGAGGTATTGGAACTTCCTTTTTGCTGTGGAAGTCTCTTGTTCATCACAAGGAATTTGTCTCATGGTTAAGAATATAATCTCATTTCATTTTGTATCGACTGAAATTCATACATTTCTTCATAATCCAAGTAGAAATAACTTCAGGATTGTTGTTCTTTTGTTTTTTCAATCTGGCAATTGAAAACTGACAGATCGATCCACTGAGGCTCAGAGTTTTGACAGCTTAGTGTTTTAAAGATTTGGTTTTGAACCCCTGTAAAATGTTGGTGCCGCATTAGAATTGCCCTCCTCTTTCCCCTGCTGGGGACGCTTTGCGCCTTTTGAACTTGGCTGGTTGTAGATGTAAGAAGAACTATTTTTCGCAACATTTTTGAAGAATTTAACAAAATGCTTTACGTTCTGTAGCATCTGGGATCAAAAGGGTGGAAGTTTGAAAAGCTCAAGAAAAGGAAACTGAGCGAGTCTTCATCTCTAACCCGATCCCATCTCTAGAAGGTTACAAATCCTGGCAGAACATCCAGATTCCTTTTGAAACATGGCTTTTGAACAAGGCGAGGGGAATTTTTATGGACTTCCAGAGGTTGCCAAATTCCAGCTCCCATCAGCCTGCCTCGTCTGTAGTGAAGCGTGATGGGAAAGGTAGTTTTCCCTAGAATATTACTGTGTCTAGGAGGAGAAGGAATGATCCCCATCCGGTGAAAAGCTAAGCATTACCTCTCGCTCAAAATGGGCACACCGATGACTCAACAAACCTCTCACAGGAAGCTTGAGAGGAACCAAGTTGGAACAGGGGGGCAGATCACCTTAAATTTTGACCAAGGAAGACCAATGTCTCCTTTCTGATGGGGACATTCCTATGGGAGAAAGCTTGTACAAAATGAAAGCACAAGAGAGAGGGGTTGGTGGGTGATCTTAAGAAAGAATCGTCTGCAGGAGTAAGGCCGGCTCAACCAATAAAATTGGTTCACAACTTTGGGGTCTTCCGAGAAAAGGCACCCCCTTTAACAGGAGAGGCATTGTTTTATTGCTTCTCTTAGCTTGCCGTGCTAAGCCGCTCTTACTTTACTGCTAATGTGGCACTCCGCGAGTAAGGATGATAAATGCAGACCGCTGCCCAAAACGTTCAGTGGACGACTTCTCGTCTATCGATTTCATCAGAGCTCGTTACCTCGAGAAGTAGCCGGAACAGGGAGAGCGAACCTTCTCGCGTTACATCCAATTACGTGAAAATTGGACGTCTGTCAGCCTGTCGTCCCCGATGGGGCAGATTAATGGAGAAGCCGTACCTGAAGTTGGCTTCAAGTCTGCCACGTGAAGCGTCTTGTCTTCTTTCTTGAAGGAAGCTGAGGCACCTTGGGAGTGGGAAGAACAGAAATGGAGGGGTTTCGGTGAGATCAATCTGTCGGGATTCACAGCCGCAGGTGGACCAGGAAGAGAGAGGAAGACTGAATGGGGAAAGATGGACATTGTCTCAACGTTCATGCCCATTTCTCCTCCTTGGATTCTGCTCGTTGTGCAAGAAGCTCGTTGGCCATCATTATGGAAGGACTGCTTGTATAGGTGTGGGTTACTTCCAGTGATTGGCAGAGGGTGGTGATGGAAGGAGGGTGGCCAAGGGGGAATGGATCTCCCAGCTCTAGATTTTAGAGCAATTAGTTGGCTTCGTCACCACCTTCCGCCTTCTCTTGGTTTCTTCTCTGCCTTCATCAACTTGAAACAGAGATCTCTGAGAGTTCCATTTTCACTTATTTATACCCAAGCCAATATCCTGTCCTCTTCGTGTTTTTACACAACACTTGGGGGGGGGGAGGGCGAAAAGAGCAATTAAAAGGTAACGAAACACAATTTAAAAATTCAGGATTAATAAAATCAGATCAATAAAACGAAGACAGCTTTACATAAAACTGAAGAGGCAGGCTCGGGTTTAGGCAGGACAGGCTTCGCAAGATAGGAAACCCTGCTGGAAAGGGCACAGAGAGACAACACCAAACGTTTTTATAGGCCACCAGGTCACTTCCAGCATCAGGCTGGCCCTGTGTGTTTGGTATCTCCGAAAGGTCTTATCCTTAACCGCCCTGCTCAGGTCTTGCAAACTCAAAGGTCGTGGCTTCCTTCACTGGATCATCTCATGCTTCACCCTCCTCTTTTCCTGCTGCCTTCTGCTTTTCCCAGTGAAATGATCTCTGTCCGTTTGCCTACCAATCTCTCCGCATCTTTAAAACAGGGACGGCTAGAGGATCCCTCCAATCAAAATCCCCCCCTGTTCCTCAACCTTCTCTAGGCAGGAAGCGGCGATGCCAGTAACCCAGAGGAAATTGGGTGCTTTGACCCTCTTGAAGTGATGTTTGTCTTTCCTTTCCCGCCGCTTCTTCCCATACAAAACCATTTTGCCCTCTTCCTGGCCTCTGCCAATTTACACATTTTGCTGATTATTTTCCCGGTGTTGGCGGCATAATTGGATTGTTCTGCAGGCAACCTGCATGGTACACCTCCGTGACTCTAAACTCTTCCAGTCAGTGATAGAAAAAGTCTATTTTTTTTCCTGTCTCTGGTAGTGACTGAGCTCGGTGGAGTGATACAAAACCAGAGAGACATTTTAATACTGTGCGAGACTTGCCAGCTGACCAGAAGGGGGAGGTCTGTATATTATTTTAGAGAAAAGAATTTTAAAAACTGAATTGAATTTAACAACCAAACTATACAAAAGTACTTAGGACCAAAGAATCAGCAATCCAAGATACAAATTTTGTGGAATCAAAAAAAATCAGCCACCAATTGTATAGTTTTTCATACAAACTACAGCAGATAATCCACCAAGAACACTGATCTAATTTTCATTTAAAAAAATACGATGGGGTTAGAAGCAGTGTAGATCCCTAGTTGAGATGGAGGGAGAATTCTGTTTCCCTTCATTTTTGATAAGGCTTGTGATACTTTTGCTTGGTGTTCTGACGTGCCAAAAGGTGCGTGCATCTTTCGAGGCAGTGTGAAAAGAACTTTGGATTTCAAAAAAAGTGTGTAGAAGAAACCAAACATTACAGGTTCATACATCCAGGCCCAGAGTTTTACATGCTTCACTCTGTAAAACCTGGTTTTGAATCTATGTTTATGGGATGACTAGTAGGGCTAAATCCGAGATGATACCTCTTTATTTGTATTCTTCCAATTTTTTTGTTATCATTTACACAGTGGTCGAAAACATTATTTTTTGGGGGGGATGACTTTCCCTGGAAGGCCCCCGAGCCAGCTTGTTCACAGGGCTGTCCTGCAACGATTCCAAACTTTGCACAAGTGTAGCGAAATCCTTTTTTCTTCTTCTTAGACCAGCCAGTATTCCTTCAAAAGGCATGTAAGTGGGGTGGTTATTACGTGTAATTTCCTTTTATATTTGCCATCTTTCAGGCGAATAAACTGAGGACCAAAACATTGCGGAACACACTGAATCCTACCTGGAATGAAACTCTCACGTACTATGGGATTACCGATGAGGACATGATCCGGAAAACACTCAGGTGAGCAGGCACTGCGGTACGGGGCTGGTGGCGGGGGTGGTTCCTTGCCGGCATCCTTTGGATAATTCCAGATGGTGAGACATGTGGGTTTCCTCTGGGTGGAACGTCAGGAGCCTTGGCGATCGGGTTGTGGCCAGGGAGGTGACGACTCAACCAACCAGCTCTTTTCTAAAGCCCAAAGCACCTATTTTGGATGAATGAACTTACAAAAAATAGTTGACAGAAGTGTAAATGATGATAATAAGAATAATACATCTCAAGATTCCCAGTACTTGGTACAGGCACCAGGAAAGAAGGTTTGATCCTGATGTATAAAGACCGTTGGATCATGTATAAAATTCCTGGGTGATGGTTTGTTTATGGCTCTGGAATTGTGAGAGTTAAAATGGATCTTCCATGTTTAGGGGCAGTTTACCTCTGAATTATGCATGCTGGCAACAAACGGGTGGAACATCCAGGTTTTCGTGGAAGCCTCGCCCTGCTTCTGTGGCACGATGGGCTCGTGGCCATCTCGAACAAAATTCTTCTTCAGTTATTTGCTGATTTATCAGCCACATAACCTTTCCTGCAATGAGCTCAAGGCAACCCTGGGGGCTCTCCTCGTCCTCACTTTGTCTACGTCACCCTGTAAGTTAGGGCAGGCAAATGCTGATCCCTTCCCTTCCCTGTCATTGCTTTCTCTGTGTGAAGAGTGACATGGCTGCAGAGGAGAAGCCCTGCTCTTCCATAAAGCTCCCTGTACAAGCCGGACCCCTTATTTTCCAGGGCTCTGGCTCATGGGGAATAGCCTACACACAATCTGGATTCTCCCCCCCCCAAGGTACCTCCCTTGCCATCCACCTGGAGAAGGTTACGAGAGAGTGGGAAGTGGTTAGGGGTCCCCTCCTCGCATTAGGAGAGGATCAGGTAATAAGCACCTCCGGAGTGTCTCATATGAAACCTCAGTCCAGGACTCTTAAGCAGCGTCATACACCGGCTGCCTTTTGTGTGTCTCCGTTTCTCCCCACTAATAAAAGCCGATATAGTTTTTCTCCAAAAGAAGTTCTGAGTCAAGGAATAAATGTCCCTTTTCATTCCCGTTCTTACCTGGATCATTTCGTGTATTGAACCACTGAGCTTTTCATTTGCCTCGGGTCCCGTTCCAGGCATGCTTTCCTACTTTCCGCCTTGCTTCCCTACTTGGGATTCCATTCAGACCCTTGATACAGCCATTAAAACCTCGTTTCTCAGCCGCCGCTCAGGAAGAAGGCTTTCTTATTTATCAAGGGCCATTAGACTCCCCGTGTTTCCTGCTCTCACATCAATCAGGAGCCCTTGTGCGACAGGGGCGCTTGATTTATAAGCCGCCTCGATTGGGGATCGCTCCCGACGCTATGAGCTATCTTATAAGCACTTCATCGCCTTTAAAGGCTCACAATCCATCAGCTGCAGGGTGTGACTTGAGAGGATTGTGTGTGTGTGTGTAGCACTGGGTGGCAGCCGTGTTGAAACTAAACCTCCTTCTGCTTCTGAAACCTAAGTGGTTCATTTCTTTTTCTTCCCTTCTAATTGTTTGCTTCTAGCACAGGGAGAAATTAATAGGCTGCAGATTCTCAGTGAGTTAGATTTGGGGCAGAGGAGAGAAAAAGCAGAAACACAGAAAAAGGCAAAGGTTGGTGGAAAAGAGTGGACTGGAAATGAGACACACACGTGGCCTTGGGCCATCGGCGGCCTCCTGGGCATTTTTGGGACACAATCATTGGTGTCAAGAAACGTTGAAGCCAAAACTGGTACCAGAGACAAAGAAAAAGAGGGTGTAAAGTTGCCACCCGTGGCAAAATTAGTCCTGGTCAGGATTGGGGCCCGCATGCTTGCTTTGAAATAAAACAAACCCAGAAAAAACCAAGAAGGGCAGCTGTACCACATGCACGTTACTGACTGAACCCAGTTTGATCCTGCCGTGTGAATCACAACCTGATTCGCAGGCAGCTGACTGAACCAAATGCTTTGGACATTGGGTGTAGGATATAGAGAGCAGCAAAGAGCAACACGGTAGTGGGTTCGAATCCTAATGCTGTGTAATGAAGATGAATAGCAACTGTTCCCTAGGGATAGTAAAGCTTTCTTCGGGGGCCTCTCTGGCTGTCTTTGGGTCCAGGCAATGAGGAAGCAAACCAACGGTATTGTTTGGGGTGGGAGGCCTGGATCAGCACCATGAACGAGGTTCGAGAGCCCAACCCATCAGCTCCGATGGGCGAGAATATTGTTGGGCTCCTTTTTTCACAGAGACTTCCCAAAGTGTGCAAATTTCTTCCTCCGTGTGACAGAATGTACTTACGATTTGAGAACATTCAAATGAGGGACAATCGTACTGACAGACTCACCCATCCAGGCAGAAGGCTTTGACTTCTTACAGCTTCAAAACCTTGGCTTAAATCCCTGCATATTCAGCAGTGTTTCGGGGCTGTGGGGCTGAATGATGATCCAATCTCATTTATTTCCTGAAACGGGTGGGATCTGGGTTCCGATCCCCACTCGCCATGGGCATCACTGCACACAGTTATGAAGGATGCAAGAATAATTGTATATTGGACATAAGGCAAATTTTAAAACCCTCATATGTTTCCTTTCCCCTTTGAGTTTTGGAAATCTCCTTTCTACCTTGAAGGTGAAGAGGCTTGGGACCTGGAGTCAATTCTCACAAATGTCCACCTATCTGGGATGCTTGTAAAAAACTTAAGTGAAAACCGTGGACAAATCTGAGACCTGTATTTGGGTTTTTGTTTTTTAAAAAAGGAGATTTGTGAAGCTCTGTTGCAGGCATGGATCTCTCAACAGACCTGAGGAAGGCCACCAGAACTGCCCTGTGATCAGCAGCACGGCTGAGACCCATGACTTCTCAGCTTTGACGTTTGACCCTTGGAATTAGCATTGAGAAATTAGCTAATAGGAGAGTGATGCAATCCAGATGTTCATTAGCTCCTGCGTTCCCTCTCTGTTGGAGATCAGGCCATCCTCATTTCTGCTCTGCTGCCTCAGCCTTCTCGCCCCCTCACCTGCCTCTTCCATATTTAACTCAGGTGCTAATTAAAGAAGATCCACCGCCTAACTTCATGGCTTCACAGCTGAGTCTCTGGAGCGCCCAGAATATGTTTCTTGCCTCTTTTGGTGCTAATTGACTGTGAAAGTTAGCAGTGTCATAATTATTCAGGAGAAACAACTGCTGGTATGTTGGCTCCCCAGGGACGAAGCGGATGAGAAAGACTCTGTCTTTTGGCCGGACGATCCGGAGTCGATGGTGGCAGTTTGCTGAGTTACACAGGCCTCTAGGTCTGGTGGAGCTGACCTGGGAGCAGCAAAGGTCCACCGCGCTGGAGACTGAACCCTCTTAGGCCAGCCTCGGCAAACCCAATCGAGGGGGCCTTTGCGGTGTTGTTTTTAAGACAGCATGGACTGGCAGCTGAAAAGGAGGCCCAAATCATTTAGGAGATGGTGGTTTCGTTTGACTAATTGCCAAAGAAACCAAAAGTAATAGCGTGGTTCAGCCATTAGAGTCAGAGAAGCATCTGGGAACCAAGGTTGGGAAGCCGTACCAGTGGACTTGCCAATATCCAAGTGAAACGGACAGATTTCTCTTATCGGTCCTCCAAGCCACGATTGGGCACCCTTTGAGCAAAACGCCACTGGGAAGGAGGTGTCCTTTTCCATGAGTTAAATAAAGGCCAGCATAGATTCCCCTGGAAATATCACCCTTTATGTCTCATCACGATCGGGCCTTCAAAGGCCAGCTCTGTGGTTTTCCCGACTGGCGAACCTTGTTTGGGAAGGAGGTTCGCGGCCTCTTTTGCCCCCAGGCACAACCCGGGAGGGATCCGAACACCAAGGATCCTGGCAAGTTGTGCAGGGTGGTGAGGCAGGAGATGGGTGCCCGCCACCTGTTTCTATGGCAACAGAGCCTTGAAATGAACACACCACGACTTCAGCGGGCTTAAGTTCTTCTCTTCCCCACTGACAGGGGCTGAATTTTTGTGTTTTGTCTTTGCGAACAAACCCGTTTTTTTAAAAGCGAGACATGGGAGGTTTCTTTATAGGGAAAAGAATATCTTCCTCCTCCTCCTCCTCCTTCTAAGCCCACTGTCTGAAATATTTGCCTTTTTGAGCTTTGGAGGACCGATTCAATGGGAACAGGTGAAGAACTGGAGCATGCCAAAAACAATAATTGGAACAATTAATTGGGTTTAAATAGAGCCCCTTTTTTTAGGCCAGGAAGGCTTTGAAGGAGTTGGGCTCTCAGGTGTGGTCGAGAGGAATGCCCGGCCCTATCAAAAGGTCACACACAAAAAGGGGAGGAAGAGACGAAGGAGGAGAGCTTAGAAAAGTTAATCAACTTCCAGAAAGTTTTTGCTGGACATGAGGTTTTCCGAGACAGACTTGAAGAAGGTTACTTTCTAGAGATTTGGGAAGGAGGTCGGGGTGGGTGAATCTCTGTGTTTTACCCTTCTCCCGCTAAAGGTAACCTCGAGTCCTTTCAAGTCCCATGAAAGAAATGGTGAAATCTGCAGGAAATCCAAGCTATGTGGATCATGTCATTTCATATACGAATTGGTTGAAGATTCTAGTCCTCAAGCTTTCACATTGCTTAAATTCTTGTTGAAATTGAGCCAAAGGGAATTTTTCTCTGTCCCCCCCCCCCAGCAGCTGAATTCAACAGGAACAGCTATGCCTGGGATACAACCTTCCAAATAAGTAAGAAATTCCTGTTCTTTCTCACCCTCCCCCCACCTCTTCTCCTTGCTTCTTTTCCATCAAAACATGCCTACATTTTCAGATTTCTTCAAAGGCAGCATGAAAAGAACTGAAGATTTAAAAAAAATAATGAGCAAGAATGCAAACTTGGCAGATTCTGTGTATCTTCGTTAAGCCGTAATTGCTTAACATTTTTGAGTTGGAGGCGAGGGAAACAACCCAAGGACACACTGATTAACGTAGCCGAAGCAGGGGATCTAAAACAGGGACCGTTC